GGCGGCCACGGCGCGCGCGCGGCGGCGCGGCCCGCGCGGGCGGGAGAGGAGGAGGCGGAGGGGGCGAGCACGGCGACGAGCAGCAGCGATAGCGAGGGCGGCGGGGATGATGATGATGAGGAGGAGGAGCTGCAGCGGGATGATTTGGATAGCGAGGACGAGGCGGGCGACTTTGGTTTGGGCGCGGCAGTGCCGTTTTTCGGGGCGCCCCGGGGCGGCGCGTCCGTCCGGCTGCCGGAGTTTGGGCAGTTGTGGTCGGTGCTGACTCAGCTCGTCGCCGACGGGACGCGGGCGTACCTGCAAGGCGGGCGGGGCGCGGCGGGGCCCAGCGGGGATGGCGGCAGCGGCGGCGGTGGCGGCGGGGCCGGCGGCGGCGATGACTTGGGGGAGGTGCCGAGCAGGGCCTCTGTGCAGGCCCAGCTGGCCCTGTCAGAGATGCTTGGCGCCGCGCTGCCGCCCGTGCTGGCCGCGCTGCGCGTCAAGGTGCCCGCCTCCGACGTCAGCAGGCACGTCTCGGCGCTGGTGCGGACGCTCGACCTCTCGCGGCCGCTGCCCAGCCTGCAGGCGCGGCAGTGGCAGGCGGTGGTGGCGCTGCTGCTGGCGGGGCTGTCGTGGGGGCGCCTGGAGGGGCTGAGGCCTGTGTTCAGCCGCGCGCGGCCGTCGCCGCTGCTATTGGATATGTTAGACGACCTGGGTCTTGACATGGATCGCTTTGTTGCGCTGCTGGAGCTTCTGCATGAAGAGATCTGACCTGGTAATCTCACATGCACAGTCGGTTGTCAGTTGGCATTGTCAGGGCTGGGTTCGCGCACCCGGCCGCATACTGGGCGACCCATCATGGCGCTATCACATGCAAAAACCAACAACTGCACAAACTTCCTGCATGGTACTAAATATTCCATGCAAGAAATGCGGCTGGATCGGGAGATTGTGCTTGTAGCCATGCGCATCCTGCTGCATTGAATGCGGCGAGGTAGCAGTTTTCTGACCATTGACCCTTTGGCTTCACTGATTGCAGCATCTAGTTGGGAAGGAGGCAGCTCCTCAGTGCAAAGGGCGGACGGGCTGCATCAAACAGCACGTACCCCTGCCCCCATTGGGGAAGCTAGGTGGGTGCAAGGCGTCAAGCGGCGTTGAGCGTGCGGGCGTTGCCTGTCAGGCGATCAACAACCCACTCGTACAAAGGGATCCGCTTGATTGCACGTGACGAGCCTAGTCCACGCGATCCCACAAGCTCGAACGCCATCATCACCCGTGCCACTTCGCAGCAGTGACCCGGCGATCTTCTCTTTCCTTCGTTGCAGATGCAGGCGCAGATGCAAGCCGTACAGCAACGGGTCGCGAACCGGCCCGCGGCCACACGGCCCGCACGGGCACCAAAGCCGAGCACTGCACGCCGAACGAGCGTGCGTGTCGCCGCGGCCGCTGCCAGCGGCGCTCTCGCTCAGCCAACTGAGCCGGCAGCCAAGGCAGCGTTCCTAGCGGCAAACCCCGGAACGATGGATTCGTGCCTGTCGCTGCTCAAGAATGCGGCGACCACCAAGAGTGTCTCGCCAGAGGTGAGCACTGGTCATCTGGAACAAGCAGCCGGTCAGGACGGGAGGGGCCACCAGGTGGCTGCAACCGCAGGGCCCCGCTGTGCACGTGCTACCCCTTTCTTGGCACGCACCCTGGCCCGAAAACCCGACGTGCGCTTGCTGCCTCGCACCATCAATCTATTTTCCTCGGCGCTCGCAGCTGGTGGAGGGCGCCTTGGTGTGGCTGGAGGAGAGCACTGCAGGCGAAAGTGAGCGGCCAGCTGGGACAAATCATAACAGAACAGCCGTCATCTTCACCCGCCACGCGCTGGCCGCGTGCAGGCACGTCACATGTGCCGTAAGCACAGCTGGCCCGCGCACGGCCTTGCTTCCCAGCAGATGGTGCGCTGCCGCGGCAGCAACCGCAGCGCGCACCACCCAGCGCGCGGGTGCCCGCCAATCGCGGCCACAACACGCACGTTCGCCTCTTGCTTCCCCTGTGATTTGCGATCCCAGGCAGCGGCGTGGAGAGCATTGACGGGTCCTGGCGGCTGGTGTTCTCCACCAGCACGGGGCTACGCTTCTTCCAGGTGCCCCCAAAATTCTGTGCCGCGAGCGCCTGTCGCAGCGCAGCACACGCCAAGCACAGGGAATGAGGAGGCAGCTGACCTGGCACAGGGGTGCCCTCCGGCTCCGTTTGAACGCGCTGACGCCCCGGAGCAGCCCCATTCCGCGCCCAGGGACCCTCGCCTCACCACTCATGTCGCCTGCTGGACGCGGGGGACCCAACTCGCACCCCTGCATGTTTCGAAGCGGCCCCTGCCGTCTCGCGGCCGTTTCTGTTGGCCACGCTGCCGACCCCTCCCCCCGACTGCCCGGCGCAACCGGCACTTGTCCCCGCTCACCTGCCAACCGCCGCAGTACATCCCGGTCAAGGAGGACCTCGTCATCGACTCGAAATCGGGCGCCATCTCCCTCGAGAGCGAGCTGGGCCCCTTCCGCTTCATCATAGGGGGGGCCATCTCTGCGTGGAAGCCGGCCAAGGGGGAGCTTGACTTCCAATTCAGTTCCGTGGACATCCTGCTGTTCGGCAACAAGGTGGGCGTGGGAGGGTGGAAGGTGCTGGGAAGCCGGCGCTGTGGTGGCGTGTGAGCATGTCCGCCGGGTGGATGGGGGAGCGTTGGTTGTGCTGGGGGGGCCATGCGCCTGTGTGGCGGCCGGGACGGAGGCAGGCGGCCAAGCAGCGGCAGCTGCACTGTGCAGGGATGAGGGTGAAACGTAAAGGCAGCAGCCTCGTGTCTATTCTTGCTGACCGGTCAACCCTTCATACCCTCCGACTGCCTGGCTTTTTCAGATCAAAACACTGTCACCCACGACCAAGCCCAAGACCTACTCGTTCTATTTCGTCGGCGGGCGCATCTCAGCGGCGCGGTCCAGCGCTGGGGGTCTGTCGCTTCTGCTGAGGTAGTGGGTGGGTAGTCAGCTGCTCGTACCCCGTAGTCACATCGTGTCGACCCATTTGGCTGATTCATTCCTTGGTGCAACTGCCCATTTGGGTGCGACACGTGCACGTACGAACTGTAGTTATTGCAGGCGGGGCAAGGGACATAATTGTAACAGACCTCTAATGGATCAACTGTGTGCCGAAATCAAAAGCAGCCAACCCACCAAGCAGGTCACGATAAAAGGGATTGAGTTACAGGAAGTGGGCATTCCTCAGGTTTCTCGCAGACAGTACAAGTACAAACATTTTTTTGCAGATGACAACCAGTTCTGGTACAGCGGCCGCCAAGCTTAGGGTCAAGCGACTTGACAGCACTGCGGCTGTGGAATTGGCAGCGTATGGATGCTTCCGGGCACCAGCGGTCCCAACGCAAGGTGCGTGCACACACACGCGCGGATATGCATGGCTGTGCATGCTTTCTCAGCAGCACGCGCGCATGTGTCATCGTGACGTCACGCAAGGGGTGGTGCTGCAGACGTGACGCAGGCATCAACGGAGGCCAGGCATACCATATGTCAGGCCAGCAAATGTCATGGCTGCGCAGTGGTTTGAGTGAGGAAAGGGCCGACTGTGCGAAAGCCGAATGCTCCCCAATGGCGGCCAAAAGGCGCAGGGCTGTGGCAGTGTTGCTATGATTGGGACTGTAGTATGCATCGTTGTGTCCGTATTGCACCGCCACAGGGATCCTGCAGAGGGGGGACAAAGTATCCCCGACAAATTCCTATGAAGCAACCGCAGAAACCAGAAGGTGTCCGTCAGCGAAGCGTTCCCGCCTGGCCTGGCACTCACGGACATGTTTGATCACAACACCCATGTGCCGCGGGCCGACGAGGACCCCTGCGACCCCAGCTGCACCCAGGCCTCCTCCCTCAAGTGCGGCGCCCCCCGCGCCGCAGCCGCGCCGCCGCCCCTCTGGCCGCCGCCGCCCCGGCGCCCGCGGCCGGAGGGCGCGTCTGGGGCGGCGCCTGCATCAACATCCAGGACATCCCCACTGGAACCTGAGCTGAAGCTGAAACTGGACCAGACCGCCGCCAGCCCCGAAGGCCGCCGCCCGAGCGCGGCCGGCGGCGCGACGCAGGTGCCCCTGCTCCCGGCCCCGCCGCCGCCGCCGCTGCCGCCGGCGCCGCGGCCGACCAGCGGCCGCCGCTCAACATCCGGCTCCTCGTAGGCGTCGTCCCAAAACTCTTCCCTGACAACAGACTCACCGCGGCCGCAGTGGTCGGCAACGCCGGCACCCCCGCGCGGCCCGCCCTGCCGGTGCGCGGTCGGGGCCGCGCCCTTGTGCGTCGCCGCCGCCGCGGCGCCGGCGGCGCCGCCCGCGGCCCTGCAGGCGGACGCCGAGTGGATCTCCTCCAGCTGCTCGATGGTGTCTGCCTGCGGCACGCCGCGCGTCTCCGGCAGCAGCAGCACCGCCGCCGACGCGGCGACGCCTATGACGCCCATCACCCAGAACGACAGCCCCGGCGCCCGCAGCCGCGCGGCGAGGAACGGCACGCCGGGCGCGAGGACGCCGGCGAGGCGCGCGGCCTGGTTGTTGATGCCGAGCGCCTGGCTGCGCAGCGGGGTGATGCAGGTCTCTGCGGCCACGATGTAGACGCAGCCCCAGGCGGCCGAGATCACGCCGCGGTTGACCGTGGCGAGGATGATCTGGGCGAGGCCGGGTCCGAGGATAGCGCAGCCGAGGCAGGAGAGCCCTGAGATCATGAGGAAGGTGAGGACAGTGGCCTTGCGCCCCGCTGTATCAATCGCGGCCATGCCTGGTGCGGTGGCCGAGAGCGAATGGGAGGCGTGTGAGCGGGGCCGCGACGGGCGACAGAGGGCGAAGTCGGTTAGCCACACGGGTCGAGCGGCGGCACACACGCTGGGGTAGGCCACGCCGATGCCTGAAACAACCTGCAGTCAGGGCTGACGGGAGCTGAACACAATTGAACAGAGGCATTTCGTATGTCCGCCGTGCTGCGAAGCACCTACCTATGATGTATGCGGGCACCTCCGCCAAAGACGTGATGAAAAAGGCCCCCTCGACTGAGTAGCCCTGTGGTCATAGATGAGCGATCAGGTGCCCCAATCGAAAGCCGCAAGCGCTGCAAGCGCATGCGAGCAGGGCAGCAAGCGTGGCCAACACTGGCGCCGCGTGGGCTGCTCAGTCATCTTCTGCGCGAGGCCATGGCATGGGCTGTGGCGGATGCCTCCATCTGGCTGCTTGTAACGACCCCAAATTGCTTCTTTTCGAGCACTGCAGTAAACAATATCAATAATGACTCACCTCGAGCGCATCGCTCGTGAGCCCGGCCACAAAGAATGTGATGGCAGCCACCGCCGCCAGCCCGCTCGTCACCAGGAGCGACCGCCGTAGCAGCGGGTGAGAGAACAGCACGCGCCAGCTCTGCGGATCGCCGCCCCCAGTGCCGCCGTCTGTGGCCGCCTGCAGCTGCTTCTGGGTGGCCGGGGCGCCCTCGGCCTCGGCATCCTGCTGGTGCACCCGTGAGTATCCCTTGCCTGTGCTGCCGGCCGCGCCGCCCGCTTTCGGCGCTTCCTCTGCATCCCCCGAGCTCAGCCGTGCCCCGGCAGGCATCTCGCGCCCGTTCCACCCTGCCAGCCACGCAACAACCCCCTCCGCCTCTTCGGCTCGCCCCTGGGACAGGAGCCAGCGGGGGGACTCCGGGATGAGGGTGGCCGCGGCGGCGCCGAACAGGCAAACGCACGCGAGGCTGAGGTTCAGGTGACGCCAGTCGTGCAGCAGGCTTGAGAGGAGGGGCAGCAACCACTCTGCGCGTGGTGCAGCAGCAGCGAGAGGGCAGAGGGAGGAAAGGGGCGGGACGGAGGTCACAAGGGCGACGCTGACAGACTAAGGGTGTTGTGCAGAAAAGGATCGCCAATGCCACACTCTTGAGCACCACGTAGCCCAACTGAAGGCATGGGTGCAAATACACACGACTTTATCCACTAGATACGCGAGCGAATGACTGAGAGCCGCCTCCTAAACGGACACACACAAACTCTCACACATTAACACACGTATTGCACGGGGGCACAAGCACACACACATACACACACACACAATACACCCACGCATGCGCCCAGCCATCCCCAAGCCCACCTCCTGGGTGATAGATAAGCTGCGTAGTGAGCCCCGCCACGCCGCGCAGCGCGGGGCCCACGGCCTCTGTGGCCAGGAGGTACGACCCAATGGGCAGCCCCGCCGCCGCAAAACCGATCAAGCAGCGGCAGGCCGCGTACGTCCAGATGCCGGGTGCGGCCGCGCACAGCACGCAGGCAAGGGCGGTCGCGATGTTGCTGGCGATGAGGCAGGTGCGGCGGCCGCTGCGGTCGGACAGCCACCTGCGCGCCGTTGCAGCACGGCGCGTCGGCCAGGCAGGGGTATGGACTGGTGGCGGGCAGTGAAGCCAGGCGTATTGTCGGCACAGAGGGGGGCACGACAGCGGGGCAAAGTCCAGGCCGAGCTGCGCAAAGACCTGAGCGTCACCAGCGATCTGGCATGCAGCGGGCGGACAGTCGCGCCAGGGGGCTGCGGGGGTCGCCCAGAGCCCACGCCTCAGCCCACGCACCCGAAAGGGGACGAGCCGGCCCAGATCCTGCGTCAAATTGTCGCCATGGGTGCCGGCCGGCGGTCGGCATTCAAGAATTGGTCGAGGGGATGCGCCATGACCCTGGACACAAGGCCAGAAGCTTGCCGCACGGTCGGGTCCACGACAGAAGCTGCCTGCGCCGCCCTCGCTGCATGCGACGGCTCCTCACCCGACAAAGTAAGCAGAGTTTGCGAGCGCCACGCGCCAACCGTCGGCGCAGACCAGCCCGAAATCAGACACCACGGAGAGTCGCAGCGGCGTGAACTTGTACGCCGACCGCGGCAGCTCGCAGAACGGCCCAGGGTCGGCGTGCGCCACGGCCCAGGCGGCGGCGCAGGCGGCGTCCTCGCTGGAGGTGCAGCGCCAGGACTGCGACCGCACTGGGTCGGCCGTCAGGAAGACCTGCAACGGATGACGGGACGCGGGCGTGCGTTTGCGACATCTTCTCGGGACGGTCGCGTTTTGTCCAGGCAGTGGCCTGCGGTGCGCGCCGGGCCACGCACAGGAGGTCCGGGCCGCAGTGCATTCGTCGAGAGCAAGTTTCCCCCACCCGCCACTCGCAAGCCTGTATTTGCTTTCCAACCACCACAACCGACGGCGCACCATTGCGAGGGCAACGCAAGCCAGTGAGACCCAGGACATTGACGCCACAACCAGCAGCACGATCTGGCCGGCCCCAAATGCCCCAACGTGGTGCGTCAGCGCATCATCCAGCGTAAGAGCGGCTGGCTTGACCCCAACGGGGGGTGAAGACGGAGCAACACGGCCGCCAGCGGTCGCAGCGGCGCCACGATGCTTGCCCGACGACGAGCGGATCTCCACGGGTGTAGGAGCAGTAACATGTATATCTATGTCAATGTCAGCTTCAGGCGCTTGACGAGCTCGCTGGTCGTCCAGCCCCATTTCGACGGCCCAGCACTCCCGTAGACGCGCCTAATGAGGCTGTGCATGTAAACTATGTTAATGACGAACTGCAACTGTTCATTATATACATAATCAGTTTCCTGCAGAAGGTTCGGCGGTCGTTCGTCAGTGATGATGAACTTGTGACTGATCTACTGCGGCAGCAGCTGATCGCGATTTAATCTGATATAAGCTAGCTATCTCCGTGGTCCTCTTGGTGTCGCTCATGGCCTGCAGCTTGCCAGCTAGGATTGCAATCTTTTGTCCCGCTGAGTGAGGGTGACACAGCGGGCAATTATGCCACCGTGGCCTGGGACACCTGGATCACATGATCCCTTCAACTCGGCGGTGAGCCAGCAGCTGCCGCGGCAGGATGTGCATGGTGCTCCCTGCCGCATCGCCGCTGCTGCACCGCTGCTGACCGACTTGACTCCCACCAGCGATCGCCACTCCACACCCGGAAACCCCTCACACGCAGTCAATCAAGCTTGCTGAAGCAACGCGGGTGCGAATCAGCGGCAGTAGCTGCAAGGGTCCCTTTGGCAGTTTCAAGGCTGTGGAGGCGCTCTCGTGCGGTCCAGCGACACGCGTGCTTCAGCTGGATGGGGGCACAACGCACTCGCTCTGCATCCTATTTATGATTCTGAGCTCCTACGAAGTGACATCATTGATTTTTGTGGCCCCTACCAAACCCCAGATCCGCCTGCTGCTGCCTGGCTTGGTGGCAGATGGCGACGAGGCAGCCGCCGAGAGCAGTGGCAAGGGCAAGGCAGCTCCTAAGATGGGTGCGCTCAGAGGGGGCGATGCAACACTCCCGCACACATGCGCGCCTGCAAATAGGCCACCGCAATTTTTTTCAAGCAAACTTTTTCCAAACCTCACCATTTGGGCTGCGTGATCCAATATCACCAGCAGGTGACGCCAAAGCGCGCCGCAAGATCACAAAGCTGCGTACGATTTCTGCAGCAGCGGCATCTGCGGCTGCAGCGCAGCAGCAGCAGCAACAGCAGGGCCGCTGCGGCGTCGTGCTGGATGCGTCTGTGCTGGAGGAGGAGTCGGACAGCGGCGGGGAGGTCGAGGGGAGCGGCGCTGTGACAACGGCGGCAGTCGCTGGCACACAGTCGGGTGCGTGCATCGGCCATCTGTGGGTGGTGGCAGGCAGGGTCCTGGGACGTGTGTGGAGGAAGCTGCAGTTGCTTTGGTGCAATTACTGAAACGTGATGACCTTGGAATCCCGATGACCTTGGAATCGCAGGCAGCAACGACAACGAGTGGCGTGCCTCGGGGCAGGCTGCGGGGAGCGCTGATGCAGGTGCGGGTGAGAGCAGCAGCGAGATGCTCAACACGTATCAGTTGCCTGCTGCCCCGCCTGGTCAGTGTCTTCGCGTCCCGATTGCCACTTCGCATTTGTCAAACCACGTCGGCACCCGCGTCAAGCAGGTAGGGGCGATACGAAAGGCGGCGGCGCCTCGGGCAGCCGGCGCGTGCGGTGGGGCGGCGGCAGCGGCAAGGCGCTCAGCAGGACTGCGTGTGGTGCTGCTGCCGACAGCCTGGCGGACGACGCTGAGCTGCCTGTTGGCAGCGGGCCGGGGCTTTCGGGCGGCGGCAAAGCCGGCGGCGGCACCAGCCGGGGTGGGGCAGGGGCGACGGGCAGCCATCCACGCATGGGCTCACGCAGTGCGTCAAGCAGCCGCCGCGGGTCAGGCGACAAGCCGCACGTGCCCATCTGGGAGCGCGGCACGGCCGGCACGGCGGCGCGCGACCGGCCGCTGCCGGCGCCGGCCGTTAAGGTGCAGCTGCAGCCGGTGGCGGTGAAGACGTTCTCGTTGTCACCCAGCGTTGGCGGCGCGATAGGTGAGTGGATGGATCCAATTTCGCCAAGCGGCGCATCACAGTGCCTTCTGTTTGTTAGTGACAGCCGGCGGCCTTCCCTCAGCAGTCTGCTGTGCACATGCGTAGGCACGACGGGGCATCGGCACACTGGTGGCTCTGATGACAACTGCAGCGCCGAGGCGGCGCTGCTCCAGCTTGCAACATGGACCCACTCTCGTCCAATGATCGCCCTCGCCCTTGCGCATTCAACCTGCGCATTGGCACTCCTACTAATCGAAAAGGCTTCCCAGATCGCGAGGACCGCGCCGCATCGTCAGCATCGACGCCGAACAGCGACGCTCACAGCAAGGGCCCCACTTGGCAGGGTGCCAGGTCAGCCAGCGCAAAAGCAGCCCTTGCATCCGCCAGCGCGGCGGCGGTGGCGGCATGCGGCAGCAGTGTGGGCAGCGGTAGCGGCGGCGGCGGAGGGGCTGGGGGAGGAGTTGGGCCAGGCACCGCCAGAGCGGCGGCCGCGCGGCAGCTGAGCGCGGCAGCCGCCGCGCTTGCAGTCGCCAACACCACCAGCAGCAGCGCTGCGCGGCTGCTCGCTGCAGGGGCCAGGGCGGGCTGCGCAGATGTGAGCCTTGTCTCGACATGATGATATGGCCAGGGCACCCGTGACCACGGATCTGCCTGGGGTCCTTAATTGCACTGGCATCATGGGAGCCGCTGGTCACGTCCCCAGGCACCCCACACGACCCTCACACCAGTGCCACCCCTCTCCCCTCGCAGAGGCTGGCGCAGCTCGGGCTGAGAGATGACGTCACCTAGCAGCTTGCACGTCAGGAGGGCACGCTCGACTGCCTTTCCCCGTGCATGTAAAATGCTGTGCTTGCTGCTGTATCTGTTGTGACCCTCCGGTCCTGCTGCCAGGCACGGACTCACGCCCAGATATAACAGCAGTGTCGCAACTGACAGCCACCACCTGCATGACGATAACACCAGCGCCCTCCGGTGCCCACAAACGCACTCAACAACGCATAGCACCCCAGCTGCAACAAAACCCTCGCCGGAGGCGAAACTTGATTGTGTGTCGGCGAAGAAAAGCATGTAAAAGGGCAAACTGCTGCCAAAAGGGCGGAGCCGGTCACCACGGCAACCTTGGGAAATGCTGGAGGTGGCGCGGCCCACCGAGCCTTGGAGCAAGCGCTGCGCGACGTCAGGCGCTGCGCATCCAACACCAGCCGCCACGCAGCTGTCGCAGGGGGGGCTTATTCCAGGTCGTCCAAAACAGCATGGGCCATTGCGTAGGCTGGGTGCAGGTCCCGGTCGTCAAGCATAACCCCGCAGCTGCTCGCGACCGCCGGCGGCCCCCTTCCGCTTCGCGGTGGGCCGCCCTGGTGCTGCTGCGGGTACGCGGGGCCCACCAGCGGCGGCGCATCCTGCTGCTGCAGCACCCGCATCAGCGGGGACGCGTGCAGGCCCGAGCCCATCGCGCCGAGCGAGCCTGCGCCGGTCGGCATCCCGTTGCTTGTGACGGCGGCCGGGACCAAGCCGCCCAGCCCGCCCGCGCCGCCGCCCCAGAACGCGACCCCCGGCGGCGCCCCGGGCCCGCGGCCGTCATACATGAAAGGCAGCGGCCCACCGGGCCCCGGCTGCTGCGGCTGCTGCGGGGGCATCGCGCCCTGCCCTGCCTGGCCCGGGTGGTAAAGGGAGTGCATCAAGCTGCGCGCCGCGGGCGACGCCTGCGCTGCCGCAGCCGCCGCGGCGGCGGCTGCGGCGACCTGCTGCGCCAGCATGGGGCTGGGCTGGCGCATTGCCTGCGCCTGCAACTGCTGCAGCAGCGGGGACGCCAGAAGGTGCTGCTGGTGCTGCTGCTGCTGCTGGTGCTGCATAAGCGCTTGCGTATGCATGGGCGTCAGACCGGCAGGTAGCCCCTGCGTATGCGGCGGCGCCTGCGGCTGTTGCTGCTGCGCGTGCTGCTGCTGGTGCTGCTGCAGGTGGTGGTGGTGCTGCAGATGCTGCTGCTGCAGCGCGGCCTGGTGCTGCTGCGATTGCTGCAGGAAGTGCGCTGATAGCTGCTGCGGGTGGTGGGGATGCTGCTGCTGCGCAGCCAGCTGCATGTGTGCAGGGGCCGCGTGCTGCATCGGCGCGCCTGGCTGCTTCACGCGTGACCGCTGCTGGTGCTGCAGCTGGTGCTGGTGGTGCGGCTGCCCCGGCGCAGCCCCGGCCCCGATATGATGCTGATCAACCTGTCCTGGCTTGTGCCGGTGCCGGTTGCGCAGCGGCGGAGTTGATTGCTGCTGCCTGTCGTGCACGTCAGGCTGCTGCTGCTGCTGCTGCTGCTGCAGAGCCTGCAGCTGTGCTGCAACCTGCGGCTGCTCATCCGATGCAGGCTTATCCACAGCCACCGCCTCGAAGTTCGCCGCCGCAGCTGTTGCGCTGCCCACCGCCTCCTGCGCCTCAGCCCCCTCGCGCCGCAGCCGCTCGGCGGCCGCCTCCGCCGCCGCCAGCAGGCGCTCATCTAGCAGGCACCGCACGCTCTTGCAGCCGGCCAGCGCCGCCTCCACCCCCGCGAGCCGCAGCGCCGCCGGCGCGGCAGGCGGTGCGCTCAGCGCCGCGCGCAGCGCGGCACGCGCGGGCTCGACGGACTGCAGCCGCTGCAGGACCTTGCGGCCGTATTTGACGCTGATGCCGGCGGCCGCGGCGCGCGGCAGCATCCTCTCGACCTCCCGCAGCACCGTCGGCTGCGCGGCCTCGTCCAGGCACTTGGCGGCCGACTCGAGCAGCGCCTCCCACGCGCGCCGGAGGGCCTCGTCGCCGCCGCCACCGCCCTCGGCGGAGCGGCTGCTATCGGACGCCGCCGCGGGCGTGCCCGGCTGCGCGTCCGCGCCCGCTGGCGCCGGTGCAGCCCCCTTGCCGCCGCCGTCCTGGCCGTGGTGGCTGGGCGTGCCATTGGTGCCGACCGCGACGCAGGAGCCCGCAAGCGTGTCGAGCGACCGCCGCCCCCCCGCTGCCGCAGTGCGCTTGCCCCGGCCGTCGGCCGCCTTGCTCATGGGCCCGTTCGCCGCAGCCTGGCCGTTGCCGGTGAGGAGCCGCCCGGCATGGGCATCAGGGGCCACGCCATCGGCGCTGCTGCTGCGCATCCGCTGGGGCCGCTGCTTGCCCTGCTGCTGCTGGCTTTCTGCCTTGGCCCCGTTTGCCAGCGCCGCTCCCACCGCTGCACCGTCACTGATAGTTTGAAGCTGCGCACTCAACGCCGTGCTGTGCGTGGTGGCGGCATCGTGTTGCTGCTGCTGCTCGTGATCATGGTGGTATTGTTGCTGCTGAGGGTGCTGCTGTTTGTGCGCCGGCTGTTCCTGCTGCTGGTGCTGTTGCTGGTGGAGGTGGTGGTGGTGGTGATCGTCGCGGTGATGGTGGTGGTGCTGCTGCTGCTCGTGGTGCTGTTCGAGCTCGTCCAGGTGCTTGGGAGGCTTGGCAGCTGCAATTTGGGGGGAGGCATGCAGGCAGGACACCGTGTGAGTGGCCACAGTGCTGCTGCTGCTGCTGCTGCTGCTGCTGCTGCTGCCAGTGCCATGATTATCACGGGCGCAAGCCACTGCAGGCGTGCGCGCGACCCTTGAATCCCACTGACGGCATGCACATGCTGCAAAGCATGTTCCCCCACCTTTCTTCTTCCGCTTGGTCGCCGCCTTGGCCGCCCGCTCCCGCTCCTCCTCCTCCTCCCGCTCCAGCTCGGCTAGCAGCGCCTCCGCGGCCCTCGCCGCCTCCGCCTCTCGCGCGGCCAGCACCTCCGGCGCCTCCCCGCCCTCCCCGCCGCC